TAATAAAATTTTATTAAATATGTTATTATTGTCATAAATTCCATCAAAATAATAGCTTCTTTGACCAATTGGAAAGGTCTTGTTTGTTAAATTTGAAGATGGGCATAACTTTTCGCTTGTTGAAGATGCTTTCTCAATTGTACATCAATATAAAACGAGTTATTTAAGAATTATACTTTTTTTTTATTTGTTTGTTTTTTATTTGAAATTTTAAAAAATTAAAATTTATGATTTTAAAAGTAAAATTATAGTAACGATATTAAATGCTACGTTGAAAGTTAAAATTAAACCTGTCAAAAATAAAAAGAAACATCTTTTTTTTAAATGAACCTAAAAATAAAATAAGATTAAATAAATTTAAACGGAACGAGCATATAAGAAATACTTAGAATATAATTGTCAAGCAATCGACATAAATAGTTTAGAACTACTAGATCCTTACCAACATAATTATTTTTGAAAATTAAAAAATAGTTTAGAACTCCTATCTCCTTACCAACATAATTATTTTTGAAAATTAAAAAATAGTTTAGAACTACTAGCTCCTTACCAACATAATTATTTTTGAAAATTAAATAATAGTTTAGAACTACTTGCTCCTTACAACATAATTATTTTGACAATTAAAAACAGTTGTTTGATAAAAAAAACAATTTAAAACCACCTCAATAAAATGTATTGTATTGGAATGACTACATTGGTAGGGGGTCCAAAAGTATATGGCATTTAATATTTATATAATTTTAATAAATATATGACATGGTTTTATGTATATTAATTATTTCCTTCATCCGATATTGTTTCTATTTTTAGAGTCAAACTATAAAAACTTTGACTAACATTTTAAGATGCATTTTTTCATCATATAAATATGCAAAAAATTATAATTTATAGTACTTTTCATATAATTTTAGAATATCTAATTTTTTTGTTTAAAATATCAAATTAATGTAATCTAATTTATCTTTGGGAATTAGTCAAATTAACTTTCGATAAACGCAACGTGACAAAAAATTCTGGACGGAGGGAGTATATCTAAGGAATACGTAGGATTTATTTGATAGGAAATTAAATAAGAAAGAAAAAGATAAGAAAGGGGAAGAAATTATGGTTTTAGGCAAAATTGGAATAATTTAATTTAAAAAAAAAGGAAAAGAAAAGAAGAAAGAGCAAAAAATCAATGTCCTAAATTAAGTCATTTAAAAATGGGCAACTTTTCACATATAGCAAACAAAAAATTCATATTTGTATGCTATAGCAAACTTTGCATAATTGCGCTCCATAGCAAACATAAAAAACTGTATAATTCGCTATACATATACAAGTGTATAATTCGCTGGCCTAAATTGTATAATTCGCTGGCCTATTTCGCTGCAGTTGTATAATTAGCTTTGCATACAGTTGAATCGAATTAAAATGTATGTATATTGCATAATTATAAGTGTATAGAAAGAAGATATATATTTTTCTCGCTTTATACAAAAACAGAAACACAATATATACACTTCTGTTGTATAAAGCTAGAAAAAATGGTATTTCACTGCAATTGTATAATTCACAATTGTATAGTTCTTTGACATTTTTCTCTGCAATATTTGAAGTAAAATGTTTATAAATTATATAATTAAGTGTATAACACGAAGATATACATTTTTGCATGTGTATATACAGTTTTCTCTCGCTTTATACAAAACAGAAACAGAAATTATACACTTCTGTGTATAAAGCGAGAGAGGCGAGAATGAGAGAGTGGCGAGCGAGACTTTTGGGAGAGAGACGCCTGACAAATTTTTGCCAACGTTTGCTATGGAGCACAATTAAATCAAACCCTAGCTATTTCATTTAATTTAGGTTATTAGTTTGTTATTATATACAATTTTCCCTTTAAAAAATAAGGAAAATTAAAAATAATTATTTTAATATATTTTTAATAAGTGATTAAGAAGTATGAGGAGTAAAAGTTAAAAGGTAAGCACTTAGCATCATCTCAAATTACACTACTTGATATAATTCTAATTAAACATAATTTATATACTTATAAGGTGTCTGGTTTGGTAATTATAATGAAAGCTAATATAGAATTTAATTTTTATTTTTTGTGTTTCATGTTGTAATAATGTAACTAAATTATTATCTATACCTCAAAAGAAAGTCATTTTATAGACTATTTAACAATTCTTTGAAATCAGTTTATTTTGAAAATATTTTGTGAGTAATAATTAGTGTTTGAGCAAATATTTAAAAACTGCTTACAATAGTTTTCTTTTAAAGTACTTAGTGAGAAAAACTATAGGCAAAATTGGATAAAGTAATTAAAGGAAAAGGGAAAAAAGAGAGAGAGAACAAAGAATTCAAAGTCCAAAATTAAGTCATTTACAAAAGAGGAAAATTAGGAAAATTATTTTAATATACTTTAAGTAAGTGATTAAGAAGTATGAAGAGTTAAGTTAAAACGTAAACACTAATATAACTATCACATTAAGATTTGGGATGACACTCGTAATAAGATTTTTTTTATATCGAGGACTCATATTCGAAACCTCTGATTAAGGCCTAGGAACTCACTACTACACTATAACTCATATTAATAATATTATTTAATTTAAATTATATAATTATGATGTGTAAGTAGTTGTAATTTGGAGTTATGTAGAACATAATGTTTATTTTTTGCTTCATGTAGCAATCAATGTAATACAATTAAATTAAAAGCCGAACACATTAATGCCTTTAATGTAAAAAAAAATGAAATTGATATCTTTATAAATTAGTTTACTTTGAATTAATCTTTTTATACTATGAGCCTCTAATACTAGGATAGAATTCGGGATAAGACCCACGACAATTCAACAATTAACATAAAAGTAAATTGTGTAATCCTCCGGAAAGCAAGGAGGTTTACCAACGCTATCTGAAGCGCAAAATGGTCTCAACGAAACGGTTGATGATCTGAACATTTGTATCTACATCATAAAAGATTCAAGTCGAATGACATAAGTAAATTGAGTGTACGAGTATGTAATATAGTTGAATAGCGAACAATTGAATGAAAGGACTACAATATGTGTAGACATATAATCGACTGAATGTAAATAAATAAGGAAGTGAAATCATCAAAAATTTAGGAAAATACTTTTTCATTTTATAAGCTTTAACATAATAAGTGATATATGAATATACACTTTAAATCTATTGGGATATTCTCTTATCGACAACTATCATTGTGAGCTAAGCAATGATATAACGTCTTGTCCATGCTTTCAGAATTGTCATATATCGTGTCGAAATATAGAACACCTCAAATAAGTGGATTCACTAAGCTATGCTCGAAGGCGCTAAGGATTCATCTAAAAAACATTATCTTGTACCCATATTGACAAGACATGAATTATGGGGGTTGTGAGTTGTCTAAACTCTCCCTTACATCGATGCTCAATACTACTCCCGATAATATTTACCTTTGCTCAATGAATAAAAACATTATTCTTTCTCTGGTTTGAGATAATTGTTCGACTATCCTCTTAAAAGAGACGACTGCTCTGAATCAACATTGAACTCATTACTCGTCGAGAAATCAATGTTTCTCTTTTGTCAACGTAAAACTGATAAATTTTGGAGCCAATAATTCCCTTGAGCTTTAGTCAAAATGTCTCTTTTAACTTTCCTAGAAAACGTCTCTTTATTCGGTTAAAAAGATTCTCATCAATAAATTAGTTAATACTTCAAATAATACTACTGTTCATGGTGAAAATCAGGTATGAATAATTAACTCAAAAATCTCAATACATAATATATAGCAACTCGATAATATATAGCAACTCGAAAATCAGGAATAACAACTTGGAATTCAACAACAAACTCATCTCAAGAATTAACAAAACTAAGGATGTAACCCTAGATTATTATTTACTGATAGATGTATATGTAGGGTGTGAGGACGAACACATTCCATCACTGTAATATCCTACATACATGTGAAGAACAAAGTTCTTGGCGAAATTGATGAAATTTGAAAAATAGTAGAAAATCCTACCTTTTCTCCTCTTGAATCCGTGCTCTAAGTTTTTAAAGTGTTAAAAAACGTAAAATAGTATTATAACACTGTTTAGACCTTAATTAGGTGAAAAAAGGTAGTGGGTTAAGCTTAGAAAAGTCAGGAAAAAACTAAACTATTCTTCTGAAAACTAGTGAAAAAACCTTTTTATGTGTCCATTTACATGTTGTAGTTTGACCCACGGACCGTAGATATCATCCGTGGATCTATGTTGAGTTTTTCAGGCTCAAAAGTTCATTTATGGGTCTAATGACAGCATGTAGGTCCACCTACGGCCCATTGGTAGGTCCGTAGGATTTGGGTCGCAAGAGTTGACCCCAGTACTCTACCGACGGCCTTACAAGATTGGTCGTCGTTTAAGCTACAGTCATCGGTTGGGATCATCTTTCACAGACTCAGAAAACTCTTGTTTGACATTTTTTGGTGAAACAGTCATAACTTTTTACTCCACACATGAAATGAGGCAAACTTGGTGGCGTTGGAAAGGAAACTCAAAAAACCTTTAATTTGATAGGTCATAGACCACCTAATTCATCATGTGATAGGAGATATGATCATTTGAAGTTGACCTAAGCAGAATCGATTGTCAAAACATAATCCGAAGTGATGATTCCAACTTAACTTTGTGCTAGGGGGGTTTTCTGACCTTAATTCATATCCAAATCCATTCGAATATCAAAGAAATGAACTCTTCATGTATGAGTAACTTAAGGATCACTCGATCCAATTCTACATGCAATTAAAGAATGATTCGGCCTTATCTTAGAAATTTTCGGGGTGTTGCGGTGTAATTATTTTCAAAGGTATTTTTAATAAAATTTTATCTCTTAGCTTTTGAAAATCAATTTGTGCTAGTTTCAAAATATTTATTTTTTTCTCAAAAGTTTGATCAAAGATCTTTATTTTTAAAAACAAACACCTTTTTAAAAGGAATAATAATAATAATAATATTTTTGATCTCATAAAAGTTTAGATAAATTGGCTATTCCTTCGCTAATTGCAATAGGAGAAAGGGCGAACACAACAAGAAATTTGGCAAAAGAACACTAAATGACGCGACGGTTACAGTCAAATGATGATTTTCTAGCTGGCAAAAGTAGGATACACGTGTTTAGATAGAGGAACCTTCTACATGCAACCAGAAGCATGTGAAATGACTATCAAACAAATTGGCTATTGGTTTACTATTAGCAATGGGAAAGGGCAAACATAACAAATTTTGCAAAAGATCACAAAATAACGCGATGATTACAATCAAATGATATTTTTTCTAGCTGGCAAAAGTAGGATACACGTGATTAGATAGAGGAACCTTTGACATGCAACCAGAAGCATGTAAAATGACTATCAGAAAAATTGGCTATTGCTTTTACTAATAGCAAGAAATTTGGCAAAAGAACACAAAATAACGCGATCGTTACAGTAAAATAATAATTTTCTAGCTGGCAAAAATAGGATACACGTGTTTAGATAGAGGAACCTTCTACATGCAACCAGAAACATGTGAAATTACTATCAGACAAATTGGCTATTGCTTCACTGATAGCAATGGGAAAGGGCGAACATAACAAGAAATTTGGCAAAAGAACACAAAATAACGCGACGGTTACAGTCAAACATCAGTATACACGTGTTTAGATAGAGGAACCTTCTACATGCAACCAGAAACATGTGAAATTACTATCAGACAAATTGGCTATTGCTTTACTGATAGCAATGGGAAAAGGGCGAACATAACAAGAAATTTGGCAAAAGAACACAAAATAACGCGACGGTTACAGTCAGACATTAGGATACACGTGTTTAGACAACAGATTCTTCTACATTCAACCAGAAGCATGTGAACTGACTATAACTAAGAGAAGCTTAAATACCCCTCTTGTGGAATAACAAAATCACAAAGAAAAACACTACCCAGAACCTATTAGTTTCTCAATCCAAATTAAAAAAAAATAATAATGCATGATGACATCATCCTTGATATACTTCTAAGACTTCCTGTCAAATCACTTATACGATTCAAATGTGTCTGTAAATCATGGCGCACTTCAATTGAGGATCCCAATTTCATCGAGCATCACTATGCTCTGTCTAAAAGTAATGTGAATCGTCATAAAATCTTTATAACAGGAGGTGTATCTGACAATATGGACAACTATTTCTACTCTGTAGATGCTCCACTTCAACATGATTCTGTTGTCTCTCTTCTCGAGACTCCGGTACCCGGAATCAATACCTTAAGTAGAGTAAGTTTCATTAGTTATTCCAGTAATGGAATAATTCTTATAGTTTTTCCTTATGATTTAATCATTTTATGGAACCCGGCCACCGGAGAATCGAGAAAAATTCCTAGCCCTATTCCTAAAAAGAAAAAGTCAGAGAGAAGACAATTTCCTGCTGTTTATGGTTTTGGCTATGTTTCATCTATCGATGATTATAAAATATTTAGGGTAGGGGGAAAATATAACTCACATGCACATTTTGAAATCGAATTATTTTCCACCAAAAGTAACGCTTGGAAATTAATTGGCATGTTTTCTCCTAACAACTTTTGCTTCGAAGGGGGCATTGTTACCATCGATGGTATCGTTTATATGATAGAGATGGCGGATTTATCTAGAAATATTGATCGATCTACTATATTAAGTTTTAGCTTGGAAAATGAACAGTTTGAGTATGTTTTGTTTCCGGATCAAATTCAAAGGTTCCAAGATCCTATTTTGTATGTTTTAGGAGAAAATCTTTGTTTGACTAGGATGCACAATCTAACTAGTCGAGATTTTGAAGTTTGGCATATGATAAAAGATGGATCAATGAACAACATATGGAGTAAGATCTTGACGATTCCATCGATGCATTGTGGACGTTGCTTGAGTCCGGTGTGTTTGATGAAGATTGATGGATACATAATGCTTCTGAAGCATAAGGGTGATTTCGAGATCTATAATTCAGATGGAGAGCAAATCGAAATAGTTGAAGTTCCTGGGCTTCAGTCTTCCCTTTTCTTCAATTGTATTGTACCATATGTAGAAAGTTTGTTTTCTCCTAAACAGAGACGGATTTAAGATTTCAAGAAAATGAATGTAACCTTAGGGTCTAGTTAACTTTTGTTTAGTAATCATTTCAATGTACTTTTATCTTTTGTGTTTGACATGATCAAATCATCTTGTAATATTTTAATTTTCTTTTTTCGTTGATGTTTCTCTAAATTTATTATGAAAACCTTGATGCAGATATATAAAGATATATTTTTCAATTTTCTCATATTAGATTGCTCAAAGTTATTGTATTTCACGGCCTAATTTGATGTTGTAGATGCTTCGATTTTGAGTTTGCTTGATAAAGAAGTGAATTTTATATACAAATTATAAATTGACAATTGAAAAAAAAATATTAAAGGATTGAAAATAACATGTAGACATTGAAATTTTGTGGGACTTTACAAGATGTGTTCGATTCGAACTGGAACTTTACAAGGTGTGTTCAATTCAAACTAGAATTCTTGGAGGCTACTCAAGCCTAAATCCCAGTTCACGCCTATATAAAGGGTACCAAATAAAATGCATCTCAAAAATTTCATAAAGAGATCAAGATCTCGAAATATTCCATAAAAGTCATATAGAGGTTAAATCTAAATCATCATAGTTCGAGAAATACGGCACTAACGCCCTCAAATCATGGATAAATCTTTGTAGATGAGAATCAAGGAGGAACAGATTTGTACTCACAATCTTTATTAATAAAATCATGTTTCTTCATATTTTATTTGTGTGGATTATTTATTTTTTCATATGTTTAACATTTATTACAAACACTACTTTTAATCTTTTTATTTTTATACATTTGTGAATATTTGATACCTCTAGTTATGCCCAAATTTAGATCAAAGTTTTAGAAATAATAATAGTTCGAAGCCTTAGTATCAAACACAGTTTACTTTATTACGATTTATAGATATTATTTTGAAGTTAATATATATACAAAAAAATTTAATGAAGGATTTTGTATTTTTATTTTATGACTGTGCTTTTTATTTTTAATTCTTACAGAAAACACTTGATAGTCACGAGTCTTGTACGGTCCAAAATAGAATTAACATGCCAGTTAATTCTAATATTTATGACTTTGAAAACAATTATTTAAGATGTCAAAATTAATTAGAGTTTCTATTAAATCTTTACTTTTTATAATAGTATTTAAAATTGATTAAAATTAAGAAATTCTATATCAACTCGAATTACAATTACTAAATTAAGAGGTTACAAATGATATCATTATTTTCTTATAAGAAGTGCTTATTTTTTAAAAGTAAACGTATTTGATCAAACTTTTGATTAAAAAATAAATATATTATAGAGTAGCACAAATTGAGAAAATCCTTTCTAGTGTATTATTTATAAAATTGTATATTATATAAATTCAGACATATACGTATATTGCATGTGCAATGCACGTGTCAAGAAATTAGTAGTATTATATTAAGGTACTATATATAATTTTTTCCCCTTTTTTTAATGTGAGTCGCCATATAAGAATTATCTAATTTTCTTAAGTTTCATATCATTTATTAAATTACATTTCAACTATTAATTGTTTGAGTTTCATACCTGAACATTAAGTTAACAAGAAAAATTGAATAATAATCAATTGTTGAGGTATGTTTTAATAAACAATTTTCATTGTTTGAGTTTCATTTGATATCTTATGGGTTATCTAACTATCTTGTATCGAAAATTATGGTTATTTGAAGTTGACCCAAAATGTAAAGAACTTACAAATAACTTGAATGAATTCTCTTTAGTTCTTTTTTGAATTCAAGGTGCTACATCTAGTGACCTTAACACTTAAAATTTTTTAGATTCATTGGTAGAATCCTACTCACAACGAAGGATAGTTTGAGCCTTAGCTCAAATATTTTTTAGGGTATTACAAACACATTCCTCAACTTTCCAATACATTGCGTCCCGACAAATTACTTTTGTTGATACAAATACACATGCCTCGATGTGTAATGTCAAGAGTGATGTATTCGAGAATAGAAGAGAGAATAAATTTTTTTAATGAATGTGATAAAATAAATTATGTGTTTTGATATTTTTTCCTAAAAATAATCTTACTACAACACAAGGAAACAACTGGAGAAAAATCAATGAAAGATAACTAAAAGCAAATTAAATTATCAGTTAGAGAAGAAACATAAACTCCAAGATCATTTGCCTTTTTCCTAACTTCAAATCGTGTAATCGAATCCCAGATCTCGAACCCAATATTATGATTAAGGTTGAATCAATTTTATTACTCGAGATTATTGGTTAAGGATGAAGCACAATTTAATGAAGAGAGAATAAAGTGTAGTAAGGTACAAGCCCACTAACTTTAACTTCTTCAAATTTATGGTGTATTGAAGGATAAATGACAGAAATCTCACCTTTAAGTTCTCTTATTACCATTATCTCCTATTAGTTTTATAAATTTTTAAAATCTCTTATTTTCACACATCAAATTAATGTATTGGCGCATCAAATTAATGTATCTCGCGCATCAAATTAATGTATCTCGCGCATCAAATTAATGTATCGTGTATAAAATGTATATAGTGTATCATGTATAAAATGTAAGTTATCTTACTTAACAATTAATGTATCTCCGCGCATCATATTAATGTATGAGCGCTTATATTATTGTATCATTTGAGGGATTTTTGTTATTATAAACTTACAAGGAACAAATGGTAATTTTGCTTTAAAAGTATATGATTTCTCTCTTTTCCCATTTATTGAATTGTAAACCATAATTAATGCAATACACATATTTCAATTTAACAATTGAAAAAAAAAGGAAAGAAAATTGTACGAAATAATAAAACTATTAATTCAAATTAAATGTGATATCCATAGTTTTTTATTCGTAATTTGCAGCAAACACTTCATAGTTTTTGCCAACCCATTTGTCTACCGAAATATATAAATACAGGACTCATTTATTTATCAAAATATACAAATGCAGGTCCCATTTGAATATCGAAATATACAAATGCAGGACCCATTTGTATACTATATATAAATAGACTGATATATACAAATGCAAAACCCGTTTATATACCAAAATATACAAATAGAAGACCCATTTGTATACCGAATATACAAATAGATCAAATACATATGTATACCAAAATATACAGATTAATAGCCATAGCAAACAAAAAAATTGCTATAGAGCGTAATAATACAAACTATAATTATAGCATACAAATCTAATTTTTATGTCTGCTAAACCTAAAATTTACTCGAAAAAAATTAAGGATAAACTACTATTAATCTCTCATATGATAAAGTATGAGTGTGGGCCTCCATTTTTGGGCGGACCATCTATTTTTGGATCATATTTGATACCTCTAGTTATGCCCAAAATTAGCTTATAGTTTTAGAAATAATAATAGTTTGAGGCGTTATCTATTATTAAATACAATTTATTTGATTACAATTCATAGCTATTATTTTAAAGTTGTATATATATAAAATATTAATTAAAAATTTTGTATTTTTATTTTATGAATGTGCTTTTTATTTTTATTTCTTATCGTAAACACTTGACTCTCACGAGTCTTGCACGATTCAAAATAAATTAATATGACTGTTGATTTTAATATTTATGACTTCAAAATTAATTATTTAAGATTTTATGACGATTCACATCACTTTTAAACATATCACGGTGATGCTTGATGAATTAGGAATCTTCAATTAATTAGCGTCATAATTTGCAAACGCATTTGAATCGTAAAAGCGATTCGACTACAAGTCTTAGAAGAATGTTAATGATGATATCATTAGGCATTTTGAAGATCTTTCTTTGGATTGAGCAATTGATTGACTGTGGGTAGTGTTTTGAGTTTGAGCTTTTCTTATTCCATAAACGGAGTATCTAAGCTATTCTTTGTCAACATATTTTCTTCACGAGGGCTCTTGACATTTCATGTGCTTTACGAGAATAGTGATCATCATTTCTTGAACTTATGGTTGCAAGTAGAAAAATCTTTGCATAAACATGTGCTTTCCCCTTTTTGTCAGTTTAGAAAATCACAACTTTGACCGTAACTACTGAGAAAACAAATCTTTATACAAAAGAACTTTCTACTTGCAATCATATGCTCGTGAAATGATGATCTTTATCCTCGTGAAACACATTAAATGACAAGATTACCTTTGTGAAGAAATAAATATGTTGACAGAGAAGAGCTTAAATACTCCCTCTTATAGCATAAGAAAAACTCAAACTCGAACACTATCCAAAACCAAGCAATTACTAAATCCAAAGATCTTTAAAATGCCTAATGATATCACCATCAATATACTTCTAAGACTTCCAGTCTAATCGCTTTTACAATTCACGTTTGCAAAATCACGATTCTCATTAATTTTTATGAAAATCTTTAATTCATCAAGCATCACTACGATATGTCTTAGACGTAATGTAAATCGTCATAAATTTTTTATAAATGGTAGTCTATTTGACACAGGAACGACTATTGCTACTATATAAACGCTACACTTCAATATGATTTTGTTGCCTCTCTTCTTGAGCCTCCGATATCAGGAATTAGAGCTGTCAAATAGGTTGGGTCCGACCCGACCCAACCCGTTATTGGGGTAGGGTTGAAATAGAATTATTGAAGCTCATTTAAAATTAGGGCTTATAAGTTCGACCTATATAAGTCCTTGGTCCTTGAGGCTTGATTAAGGTCGGGTCGGGATCAACACATCAGCCAAATTCTTTTATTTAAGGGTAACTTACACTAATACCAATAATATATAATCTAGTTACTTCAATGCACACAAACAAATTTTAGTACATTCAGATACATGTATCTCAATATATATGGACTCAAAATTAAGTTAATTTGTTCTAAATACACTCTATCCGAGTAGATTCTCATGTGTCTAGGATACATACACAAATCTCTCACTCTCGCTTCCCTCCCATCTTACTTGTCATTCTCTTATCTCGCTAGAATATTTGGTATGCAAGATACATGCTAATTACACTAAATTTTTTGCTTGTGTTATTGAAACAACATTATTCATCATATTTGATTTGAAAATCTTCACATTTTCTTAATTTTATAGAATTATAAATTTGAAAAGAAAAAATGAACGGCTAGTCCGCCCCAACCTTTTGGCCCTTCTGGGTTGGGTTAGGTTAAACATTTTTAGGTCCTTACAAATGAAGGGCCGGCCAGCCCTAGCCCTTCAAATTTCTTGACATGCGAGGTTTGGGCCCGCTAGGCTGGGCCAATCCTTTTTGATAGCTCTACCAGGAATCAATCATTTCAATAAAATAAGTTTTATTGGTTCTTTCGAATAAAAAAAAAGCCAGAGAGAAAATGATTTCATACTATTCAAGAAGTATTGTTTCCAAATCAGATGGTTTATTAATTTGTAAACCATAAATTCATTTCCATATCTCAACAACACCAAGTCTCCATTTTTGGATCCAACAAAGTTCATAATAATTTGTATAGTTTATTAATTCAACCATAATCTTACTCCATGATGCATTCTTTTCCATATACCAAACTTCAAAATATAAAATCGAGTCAAACAAAGATTTTCTCCTACAATATACAGTTGTGGATTATCCCCAAATTTAATTCTACCCGGAAATAATAATGTCTAAGGATTAGAAAAAAAATTAGACTAAGGATTTCTTTTTTTTTTTGATTCTCCAGTAGTTGGACTCCATAAAATAACTTCATCATAAAGGAAAAATTCCTTTATACTTTACTTGAATCTGATTTTATGCTATTAGCTATTTTGTTGATTCTTCTCCAAATACGAACAAACAATTTACAAATCTCATTAACCACATAATTTAGTGAGCGGCGGAAAATCTTTATATGAAAAGTATTATGCCATTGCGAGAAATAATACATACCCTACTAAATTGATCATAGTTGATTCAAGGAATTACCTCAACAAGAGAAGCAACAGAATCATGTTGAAGTAGAGCGTCTACGGAGGAGTAGTAGTAAGAATCATCCTTCTTGCAAAACGAAGACACCAGCAATTTTTGTCTATTTATATCACTTTTGCATAGATCTCGACGAAGATCGAGGAATTTGCCATCTTTAATTAAAGAACATCCTGATTTACAAAAACATTTGAACCCTGATTTGCAAATGCATTAACCTTAGAAGTGATTCACATAAAGTTACTAATTGATTCAAGGAATTACCTCAACAAGAGAAACAACAGAATCATGTTGAAGTAGAGCGTCTACGGAGGAGTAGTTGTAAGGATCATCCTTCTTGCAAAACAAAGGCACCAATAATTTTTGTATATTTGTATCACTTTTTCATAGATATCGATGAAGATCGATGAATATGTCATCTTCAATTAAAGAACACCCTAATTTACAAAAACGTTTTAACCTGATTTGCAAACGCATTTGAACCTTAGAAGTGATTTCATAGAAAGTGTATTGCGGCTGCTTGTTTCTAGAGTTAGAGTTTTATATAAGATGGGGGGAAACAACTAGGGTTAGGGTTTAGTATAAGATGGGCCATCAATTTTGGACCATATTGACACCCCTAATTGTGCCCAAACTAAGCCCACAATTCATAAACAACAATAATTTGAGGCCTACTTATCAAACATAACAATAGTTTGACTTATTACAACTCATAGATATTATTTTAGATGGTATTTCTTCTCTCTATATTTTGTGTATCTATTCGTTCAATCTAATTTTATTAACATGTAAAAATTTACTGAATACATTGTGATTTGTTCGCTTGAACTTGTTATATTTACATATATATAAACTAAAAATACAAACAAAAGAAACAAATGAGTGTGTATACAAGGATAGATACATTCAGCCAAAAATTGCATACAATCAACAACATTTAAAAAAAGAATAGATATATGTATCAAGAAGTTCACTTTTAATAGCTAAAACTAATAACAAAATAAAAACCTCATACTAGAAAATTTGCCCACCCAAAAAAAAATCTTATATAATCATTGGAAATGAAACAAAATTTTGATTCTGGAGTTGATGAATTTTCGGGCGGTATGTTAATAATTTGTCAAGAGTCTGAAGTAGCCCAATGCATTACCCATTATGTTTTGAAATATTTCTAAATATAGTTTAGACTCCTTAATTTAATTCAAACTCATAAAACGAAAAATGCAAAACTACTAAATAAATTGATGTTTGTCCTAAAAAATACGCAATAAATTTATCATTAGCCACAAATATTAATTCAAAAGTTATACCTTTAGTTTTTATCGATTTCAACAATATTATTATTAAGCAACTTAACAAACGCACTATATCAACGAAATTAAATCATAAAATTGAACACTATTTTATTATTGAGGTGTGTTTAAACTTTTAATTAAAAGAATATTGATGATAATTCAAATAGATAATTCAAATAGAAAATTCAAAAAATGGAAATAATTTAATGTCTTACTTACTATCAACTCTAGGCTTGACTCTAACAAATTTTAATGTTAGTTGGTAAATGGAAATTTAATTGGTTACAGTAAATCTTTTTTTCCCCTAAGAGATGTTAATATATACACATCCCTTTAGCTCAATTGGCACGTGATGTTGATACAAATTTGTATATTTAAAAATAACATAAAATAAAAATTATAAATTATAATAATCATAACCTAAAATAAAAAGACAGACAAAGAAAATACTGATTGAAAAAAATATTTTCTTTTTTATTTTGGTTGACCTTCATATTTTTCGTGATTTATAATCAGGATTGAAGCTACAGCTTGATAAGATTGTGCACGTGATCATCCTTCATTCAAAAATTTCACTATTAAAGTGAGTAAAAATTTATTAAATACAAATATATAGTTCATTTTGCACTACCTCATTAATAGAGGCTTTGGCCTAGTGGAAAGGGTGTTCTAAAAGCTGATATTTTTGAATTTACGATCTAAATTTAAAAAACTGAACCTCGAAATTTTAAGTGTTCTACATAAATTAAAAAAGGAAAAATAATAAATTTAACTGAAACCTTAGTTTGGATTTATATGTAAATATAAAATATATTTTAAATGAGTTTCTATTTAAAGAGTTACTATATTATAGAATTATCTAAGGGGAAGCTGGTGGTCGTCGTGATGTCTGCTTATGAAGCTAGAAAAGTAGAATGAATATTTCTAAAACGGAGTCTTCTAACTATTTTGCTTATGAACGACATTTTTTGCTTAAATTTAGCTGATATGGATGAAACTACCTTTCACTATGTCATCGAGGATATGGTTAGTTATGTTTATTCTAATAAACTCAAATAATTTAAGTGACGAATCTTATATATGTGATTCATGAGTACTAGTCCCTCGCCTCTCTAACTTATGTAACAGATGATGACTATGACTGAAATTATACCTCAGCTAACCTTATGAAGCATGCACATCCAAGTTATTACACTTTGCTTTATCCATATTACTGTATTTTAGAGAATAATTTCACTTTGTGCCATAAAATTATAAATGCGATATTGCTTACTTACAGGTTGATGCCTTCTTATTGTCGAGCTACCGCAATCCTATTTGTTGATTTGATTACTATTTTTGTCTAGAGGTTTAATGGGATTGACAATGCACATAAAAGATCACCAAGTATCATTCAACTTTTGATTAAATGATTAAATAGAAATATTTACTATAGAAAGAAAAATACATTTCATTATTACAATACACGTTGGTTCGTTATAGTGATCGACTAGATTTTTGTTGTGGCTACCAAACAAGAAACAAGAACATCGAAATGCTTAGAAGAATTTATCTAAGCATTTTCTACACACTTCAGTATACGACAACTCATGAGCTTCTTTTAGATTGTCACTGAGTCTGTCTATTTATTCTAAGGCACCCATAAGGCTCACTCGAGCAAAAATAGTCTCTCAATTTTTCACCACACAAACTGCAGCTCACCCCCAATTCCGCAAATCTGAAACCCTTTTCGAAGAAAAGATGAAAAGAACAAAGGTTTATTGAGGGGTTTTATGGTTTTAGAATTTAGCACACAAAAATGAAGTGTCAAATTCCATAATTACATAAAGTAGGAAATCGATTTATTATTATATGTGGTGCAAATTTTATTTTGTTAATTCAAAGCCACCTAATTTTATCTTTTGGTGCTCTTTAAATGAATAAAAAAGAGGTATTAATATTTTATTGGACTAATTTTTCGACACATGTGTTGCACGCGATTATCAATTCAGAAAATATATGTAATAGCAAGTAAAGTCGCTTATTATTACATGTGGCGCAAATTTTGTTTTGTTAATCTTTCAAGACACCTAATCATATATTTCAGTGTTGTTTAAATGTATAAAAAAGAGCTATCACTATTTTATTGGATTAATTCTTCCACACGTGTGTTGCACTTGATTATCAATTCAGAAAATATATGTTATAAAAAAGAAAATCGCTTATTATTATACGCGAGGCAAATTTTGTCTATCTTTTAGCGATGTTTAAATGTATAAAATAGAGATATCAATATTTTATTGGACTAATTTTTTAACACGTGCATTGCAGGTGATTAACAATTCAAAAAATGTATGTTATCATAAATAAAGTAGCTTATTATTACACGTAGCGTATATTTTGTTTTGTTAAAATTCAAAAGCCGCATAATACTATCTTTTAGTGCTACTTAAATGTATAAAAAAAAAGAGCTATAAATATTTCATTGGACTAGTTTTTCGACACGTATATTGTACATGATTATCAATTCAAAAAATATAGCTTATAGTACATAAAATCGCTTAATTAAGTGAAGATTTGAATAATTAACTTTACACAAAATATTATTGTAAATGGTCAACGAAAAATTTTATTAGTTAAATGCAATATAATATATAATTATTTCAATTTGAAAAGGTCTAATCATGTAATTAATTATATCTCACTAATATTATCTCGTAAACGTTATTTGTTGATTATTTTTCTTGTCATCTAAGCACACGTGCTTTGCACTTGTATTTCACGTTAAATTATATAGATGTCATATGAACATGTGAAGAGAACAACTACGTTTTATTTTTTAAAATTACTTTTTTATATATTAATTTTTACTATATAAATTATAACATAATAGATATTCTTCATGTTGTTGACTTTTATATTTGATTTCACGATTGATTGGGTTTTGCAGAATTTGCAATTATAAGTTTTGCCTTCAAGATCCACCAAAAATAGTTCCACCATTTTTCACTTCACACGAACTGCAGCTCAGCCTCAAGTTCCCAAAACTGAAACCTTTTTTAAAGAAAGGTTTTATAATTAAGCCTACATAAGTGTCAAATTTAAGAAAAAAGAGAGTAAAAAATCGACTTATTATTACATGTGGCGCATATTTTGTTTTGATAATTTAAAACCACATAATCTATCTTTTAGTGTTGTTTAAATATATGAAAAAGAACTATTACTATTTTACTGGACTAATTTTCGGCACGGGTATTGCACGTGTTTACCAATTCAAAAAATATATCTTATAGCAAATAAGATCGCATATTTAAGCGAAGATTTGAATAATTAACTTTGTATAAAATCGTTTATTGCAGCATATCTCACTAACATTATCTCGTAGATGTTATTTGTTGTATATTTTTCTTGTCATCCATGCACACGTGCTTTGCACTTGTATTTCACGTTAAATTATGTAGATGTCATATGAACATGTGAAGAGAACAACTATGTTTTATTTTTTAAAATTATTTTTTTTGTATATTAAATTTTACTTTATAAGTTATAAGATAATAGATATTCTTCATGTTGTTGACTCTCATATTTGTTTTCATGATTGATTGAATTTTGCAGAATTTGCAATTATAAGTTTTGCCTTCAAGATCCACCAAAATTAGGTCCTCTATCTTTCACTTCACACAAATTGCAGCAGCCTCAAGTTCTCAAAACTGAAACCCTTTTTAAAGAAAGGCTTTAGAATTAAGACCACATAATTGTCAAATTTAAGAAATAAGAGAGTAAAAAACCTACTTATTATTACATGTGGCGCGAATTTTGTTTTGATAATTTAAAATCACATAATCCTATCTTTTAATGTTGTTTAAATGTATGAAAAAGAACTATTAATATTTTACTGGACTAGTTTTTAGGCACGTGCGTTGCACGTGATTACCAATTCAAAAAATATATCTTATAGTAAATAAAAACATTTATTTAAGTGAAGATTTGAAAAATTAACTTTGCACGAAATATCATTGCAGTATATCTCACTGATATTATCTCGTAGACGTTATTTGTTGTATATTTTTCTTGTCATCTAAGCACACGTGCTTTGCACTTGTATTCCACATTAAATTGTGTAGATGTCAGCGAAGAGTACAAGTACATTTTATTTTTTAAAATTACTTTTTTGTATATTAATTTTTACTATATAAATTATAACATAATAGATATTCTTCTTCTTTTTCACTCATATTTGATTTCACGATTGATTGGGTTTTGCAGAATTTGCAATTATAAGTTTTGCCTTCAAGATCCACCAAAAATAGTCCCTCCATTTTTCACTTCATACGAACTGCAACTCAGCCTCAAGTTCCCTAAACTGAAACCCTTTTTTAAAAAAATGTTTTAGAATTTAGCCCACATAATTGTCAAATTTAAGAAAAAAAAAGAGTGAAAAATCGATTTATTAATACATGTGGCGCATATTTTGTTTTGATAATTTAAAACTACATAATCTATGTTTTAGTGTTGTTTAAATATATGAAAAAGAGCTATTAATATTTTACTGGACTAGTTTTTCGACACGTGTGTTGCACGTGATTATCAATTCAAAAAATATATCTTATAGCAAATAAAATCATATATTTAAGAGAATATTTGAATAATTAACTTTGCACAAAATCGTTTACTGCAGTATGTCTCACTAATATTACCTCATAGACGTTATTTGTTGTATATTTTTCTTGTCATCTAAGCACACGTGCTTTGGACTTGTATTTCAAGTTAAATTTGTATATATGTCATATGAACATGCGAATAGAACAACTACATTTTATTTTTTAAAATTATTTTTTTGTATATTAATTTTTATTTTGTAAGTTATAACATAATAGATATTCTTCATGTTGTTGACTCTCATATTTGTTTTCACGATTGATTGGGTTTAGTAGAATTTGCAATTATAAGTTTTGCCTTCAAGATCCACAAAAATTAGTCCCTCCATCTTTCACTTCACAGCAGCTCAACCATAATCTTACTCCATGATGCATTCTTTTCCATATACCAAACTTCAAAATATAAAATCGAGTCTTTATGTTATTAGCTATTCTGTTGATTCTTCTCCAAATACGAACAATCGATTTACAAATCTCATTAACCACAGAATTTAGTGAGCGACGCAAAATCTTTATATGAAAAGTATTAATGCCATTGTGAGAAATAATGCATATTCAACTAAATTGATCATAGTTGATTCAAGGAATTACCTCAACAAGAGAAACAACGGAATCATGTTGAAGTGGAGCCTCTACGGAGTAGTAGTAGTAAGGATCGTCCTTCTTGCAAAACAAAGACACCAAGAATTTTTGTCTATTTATATCACTTTATTAAAGAGCACCATGATTTGCAAGCACGTTTGAACCCTGATTTGCAAATGCATTTGAACCTTAGAAATGATTCACAGAAAGTTACTAAATTAATTCAAGGAATTACCTCAACAAGAGAAACAACAGAATCATGTTGAAGTACAGCGTCTACAAAGGAGGAGGAGTAAGGATCATCCTTCTTGCAGAACAAAGACACCAACGATTTTTGTCTATTTATATCACTTTTTCATAGATCTCGACAAAGATCGATGAATTTTTCATCTTTAATTGAAGAACAACCTGATTTACAAAAACGTTTGGACCTGATTTATAAACGCATTTGAACCTTAGAAGTGATTTCACAGAAAGTTTTAGTATCATGGGAATGGTATTGTTTTATGCATTTTGATATGTATTGTGGCTGCTTGTTGCTAGAGTTAGAGTTATATAAAATGGGGGGAAACAACTAGGGTTAGGGTTTAACATAAGATGGACCATCAATTTTGGACCATATTGACACCCCTAATTGTGCCCAAACTAAGCCCATTGATTCATCTTCATATTTTTCGACACAAGCGTTGCACGTGATTACCAATTCAAAAAATATTTTTTGTAGTAAATAAAATCGTTTATTTAAACGAAGATTTGAATAATTAACTTTGCACAAAATTTTATTGCAGTATATCTCACTAATATTACCTCGTAAACGTTATTTGTTGTATATTTTTCTTGTAATCTAAGCACACGTGCTTTGAACTTGTATTCTACGTTAAATTATGTAGATGTCATATAAACATGTGAAGAGAACAAATGTATTTTATTTTTAAAAATTATTTTTTTTTGTATAGTAATTTTTACTTTATAAATTATAACATAATAGATATTCTTCTTGTTGTTCACTCATATTTGATTTCATGATATATTGGGTTTTGCAGAATTTGCAATTATAAGTTTTGCCTTCAAGATCCACCAAAAATAGTCGCTCCATTTTTCACTTCACACGAACTGCTCCCAAAACGGAAACCCTTTTTAAAGAAAGGTTTTAGAATTTAGCCCACAGAAGTGTGAAATTTCAGAAAATGGAGAGTAAAAAATCAAATTATTATTAAATGTGGCGCAGATTTTGTTTTGTTAATTTAAAACCACATAATCTATCTTTTAGTGTTGTTTAAATGTATGAAAAAGAGCTATTACTATTTTATTGGACTAGCTTTTCGACACATGCGTTGCACATGATTACCAATTCAAAAAATATATCTTGTAGTAAATAAAATCGTTTATTTAAGCGAAGATGGTCAATGAAAATTTTTATTAGCAGTTAAATGCAATGATGTATATAATTATTTCAATTTGAAGAGGTTCAATCATGTAATTAGTCATATCAAACTAATTGTATATTTTTCTTGTCATCTAAATATGTATTCTTTGCACTTGTATTTCATGTAAAATTGTGTAAATATCATATAAACATGTGAAGAGAATAATATATTAGGTGGAAATATTGCGAATATGTATATGGCGTAGTTACAATATAATATGGTTGGTTTGTGACGTAGCTTATTAAAACTTTGGGTGTCATTCATCGTTATAAGATAACATATCAACATTTTCGAATTTTACATTGCAATCTATCAACATTTTCAAAGAATTTGTACGACATTGGAGTAAAGTATAATTAATAATGTATATATAAGAATTGACAAAAAAATATCATAATCACAAATGAGAAGGCTAGGATTGATTGACACGTTGCCTTGATGATTCTGTCAAAAGTCTAATATACCCTCACGTTGAATTTCAATTCCTTTTAGCACACAAGTTGATACAAAAATCTCAACGTATACTTCTAATATATTTTACTTGATTACGATTCATAGCTATTATTTTAAAGTTTTATATATATATATATATATATATATATATATTAATTAATTAAAGATTTTGTATTTTTATATATAAATGTGCTTTTATTTTTATTTCTTACCGTAAACATTTGATTCTTACGAGTCTTGTACGGTACAAAATAGAATTAATATGCCAGTTAATTTTTAATATTTATGACTTTGAAAATACTTATTTGAAATTTTGTGACGATTCACATCACATTTAAACATATCATGGTGATGCTTGATGAATTAGGATCTTCAATTAAATAGTGTCATAATTTGCAAACACATTTAAATCGTAAAAGCGATTGACTATAAGTCTTAGAAGAATGTTAATGATGATATCATTAGGCATTTTGATGATCTTGGATTGAGCAATTGATTGATTGTGGGCAATGTTTTTGAGTTTGTAATTTTCTTATTTTATAAATGGAGTATCTAAGCTTTTCTTTGTCTAACATATTTGTTTCACAAGATTAACTTAGTGATGAAACAAATATGTTGAGAGAGAAGAGCTTAGATACTCCTTCTTATAGAATAAGAAAAATTCAAACTCAAAACACTACACAAAACCAACAAATTTTTCAATCCAAAGATCTTTAAAATGCCTAATGATATCACCATTAATACACTTCTAAGACTTCCAGTCAAATCGCTTATACGATTCACGTTTGCAAAATCATGACTCTTGTTAATTTTAATGAAAATCTCTAATTCATCAAGCATCACCACGCTATGTCTAGACGTAATGTAAATCGTCATGAAATTTTTATGAATGGTAGTCTATTTGACACAGGGACGACTATTGCTACTACATAAACGCTACACTTCAATATGATTTTGTTGCCTCTCTTCTTGAGCCTCCGATATCAGGAATTGGAGCTGTCAAATAGGCTGGGTCCGACCCGACCCAACCCGTTATTGTGATAGGGTTGGAATAGAATTATTCAAGCTCATTTAAAATTAGGGCTTATAAGTCCGGCCTATATAAGTCCTTGGTCCTTGAGAGTTGATTAAGGTCGGGTCGGAGTCAGCCCATCGGCCAAATTCTTTTATTTAAGGGTAACTTACACTAATACCAATAATATATAATCTAGTTACTTCAATGCACACAAACAAATTTTAGTACATTCAGATACATGTATCTCAATATATATGGACTCAAAATTAAGTTAATTTATTCTACGTACACTCTATCCGAGTAGATTCTCATGCGTCTAGGATACATACACAAATCTCTCACCCTCGCTTCGCTCCCATCTTACTTGTCATTCTCTTATCTCGCTAGCGTATTTGGTGTGCAAGATACATGTCAATTACACTAATTTTTTTTGCTTGTGTTATTGAAACAACAACATTATTCATCATATTTGATTTGAAAATCTTCTCATTTTTTTAATGTTATAGAATCATAAATTTGAAAAGAAAAAAAGAATGGCTATTCCGCCCCAACCCTCGAACCCTTCTAGGGTTGGGTTGGGTTAAACATTTTTAGGTCCTTACAAATGAAGGGCCGGCCAGCCCTAGCCCTTCAAATTTCTTGACATGCGAGGCTTGGGCCCGCTAGGCTGGGCCAATTCTTTTTGATAGCTCTACCAGGAATCAATCATTTAAAGAAAATAAGTTTTATTAGTTCTTCCGAATCAAAAAACATTTTCCTAGCTTAATCCCTAAAAAGTAAAAAGTCAGAGAGAAAATGATTTCATACTATTCAGGAAGTATTGTTTCCATATTATATTCAAAACTATGGTTTATTGAATTGTAAACCCTAAATTAAATTCCATAATGTCTAAGGATTAGAAGAAAAAAATTAGACTAAGGTTTTTTTTTTTATTATTTTCTAGTAGTTGGATTCCATAAAATAACTTCATCATAAAGGAAAATTTCTTTTATACTTTACTTGGATATGTCTTTATGTAATTAGCTATTTTGTTGATTCTTCTCCAAATAGGAATATTCGATTTACAAATCTCATTACCGTACTAAATTGATCATAGTTGATTCAAGGGGGATTACCTCAACAGGAGAAACAACATAATCATGTTGAAGTGGAGCGTCAACGGAGTAGTAGTAGCAAGGATCATCCTTGTTGCAAAACAAAGACACCAACAATTTTTGTCTATTTATATCACTTTTGCATAGATCTTGATAAAGTTTGATGAATTTGCTATCTTCAATTAAAAACATCCTGATTTGCAAACTCGGTTGAACCCTGATTTGCAAATATATTTGAACCTTAGAAGTGATTTCACATAAAGCTACTAAATTGATCATAGTTGATTCAAGGAATTACCTCAAAAAGGGAAACAACATAATCATGTTGAAGTGGAGCGTCGGAGTGGAGCGTCTACGGAGTAGTACTAGAAAGGATCATCCTTGTTGCAAAACAAAGACACCAACAATTTTTGTCTATTTATATCACTTTTGCATAGATCTTGACGAAGATTGATGAATTTGTCATCTTTAATTAAAGCGCACCCTGATTTTCAAATGCATTTGAACCTTAGAAGTGATTTCACATAAAGTTACTAAATTGATCATAGATGATTCAAGGGATTACCTCAACAATAAACAACGAAATCATGTTGAACTGGAGCGTCTACGGAGGAGGAGGAGTAAGGATCATCCTTGTTGCAAAACAAAAAGACCAATAATTTTTGTCTATTTATATCACTTTTGCATAGATCTTGACGAAGATTGATGAATTTGTCATCTTTAATTTAAGAGCACCCTGATTTTCAAATGCATTTGAACCTTAGAAGTAATTTCACATAAAGTTAATAAATTGATCATAGTTGATTCAAGGAATTACCTCAACAAGAGAAACAATAGAATCATATTGAAGTAGAGCGTCTACGGAGGAGGAGTAAAGATCATCCTTCTTGCAAAACAAAGACACCAACAATTTTTGTCTATTTATATCACTTTTTCATAGATCTCGACGAAGATCAATGAATTTGTCATCTTTAATTAAAGAACACCCTGATTTACAAAAACGTTTGAACTTTAGAAGTGATTTCACATAAAGTTAATAAATTGATCATAATTGATTCAAGGAATTACCTTAACAAGAAACAACGAAATCATGTTGAAATGGAGCGTCTACGGAGGAGGAGGAGTAAGGATCATCCTTGTTGCAAAACAAAAAGACCAACAATATTTGTCTATTTATCTCACTTTTCCATAGATCTTGACAAAGATTGATGAATTTGTCATCTTTAATTAAAAAACAACCTGATTTGCAAACATATTTGAACCTTAGAAGTGATTTCACATAAAGTTAATAAATTGATCATAGTTGATTCAAGGAATTACCTTAACAAGAGAAACAACAGAATCATATTGAAGTAGAGCGTCTACGGAGGAGGAGGAGTAAGGATCATCCTTCTTGCAAAACAAACACCATGATTTACAAAAACGTTTGAACCTAATTTGCAAACGCATTGAACCTTAGAAGTGATTTTACAGAAAGTGTATTGCGGCTGCTTGTTGCTAGAGTTAGAGTTTTATATAAGATGGGGGGGGGGGGACAACTAGGGTTAGGGTTTTAATGTAAGATGGGCCATCAATTTTGGACCATATAAGATGGGCCATATTGACACCCCTAATTGTGCCCAAACTAAGCCCAAAATTCATAAACAACAATAATTTGAGGCCTAATTATCAAACATAACAATATTTTGACTAATTACAACTCATAGATATTATTTTAGATGGTATTTGTTCGCTCTATATTTTTTTATTATATCTATTCATTCAATCTATTATATTAAATTATAAAAATTTACTGAATACATTGTGATTTATTCGCTTGACTTTGTTATATTAACACATATATAAACTAAAAATACAAACAAAAGAAACAAATAAATGTATACAAGAATAAATACACTCAACAAAAAAAATGCATACAATCAACAAAATTTACAAAAAGAATAGATATATTAAGAAGTTTACAAAAATTTACAAAAAAAATGTACTAAGAAGTTTAGTTTTAATACCTAAAAAAATTAAGTATTAGAATAGTAGAAGTAAGAAAGTGAGGGGAAACTAAATTATACTGAAAAAAACAATGAAAGAAATTGAAAATATGCATGCTAAAAATCTATAGGGATAGTTTATAGAACATATATCACTAGTATATAGTTTATAATAATAAAGAAAAATTTGTGTATATAGTTTATAAAAACTAATCTAATATCATATATATCTAATATAAAAAATGACAAAAATCTCATAACTCAATTTGTTCCCTCAAATGTATATAGACGAAATAAGAGAAACTAAAGAGAATCACACAAAAATAGCAGGTTGAAACTATGAAGAAGAAAATAACATAAAAGATTACCACTTTATACCTTTAAAATTAATAACAAAATAAAAACATCATATTTGAAAATTTGCTGATTCCAAACATCATATTTAAATTTTAGTTTTTATCAATTTGGACAATATTGTTCTTGAGCAACTTAGCAAACACATTATATTAATGAAATTAAATCATAAAATTGAATACTATTTTATTATTTAGGTGTGTTTTAACTTTTAATTTAAAAAATTGATGGTAATTCAAACAGAAAATTCATACCTTAATAATTTAAATATAACTTACTATCTAACTCTAGGCTTGACTCTTAACAATTTTTAATGTTAGTTTGTAAATGGAAATTTGATTGGTTATCGTAAATCTTTTTTTTTTTCCTAAGGAGATGTTAATACACATCCCTTTAACTCAATTGGCACGTGATGTTAATGTAAATTTGTACATTTAAAATGACATTACCAAAATATTATGAATCACAATAATGAATAACCTAAAATATTTAAAAGGCATATACAAAAAAAATATCGATTGAAAAAAATATTTTTCTTTTTCATTTTGATTCACCTTCATATTTTTCGTGATCTATAATCAGAAATGAAGCTACATCTTGATATAAGTGTGCATGTGACCATCCTTCGTTAAATAATTACACTATTTACATAAGTCAAAATTTATTAAATACAAATATATAATTCATTATGCACAACCTCATTAATAGAGACTTTGGTCCAGTGCCTCTTTTTCTCCATTTCAATTTATATAACATTGATAATTATTGTGATTATATTATTTATATAATATTTTAAATATGTAAGTTTTATTTCAAAAGTTAATATTTCCAAATTTACATTGTAAATGTAAAAAAATTGAACCTCGAAATTACGTGTTCTACATAGATTGAAAAAGGAAAAATAATAATATCAACTGAAACCTTAGTTTGGATATATATATATGTAATAATGTAAATATTAAATGAGTTTCTAATTAAAGAATTAGAAAAGAAGATTATATGCAATTATATTTCTCCATTTCGTCTAAGTAGGTCATCTGGAGGTTTGAAAAAATAATTCATAACGGATTAATTTACACATCGTCTTTCATAAAAAATCTAGCTCTGTTGCTGTTTATAACTCTCAAAATTTTCAATTTCTAACCATGACATATAAATTTAAACAGAGGAAATATATATTGTATATATATATATAACACATTTTATATACCTTTATTTTAATAAGGAAATTACAAGTGTACAAATTAATGAAATAACATTTATATATACAAACAACTTTTCTCTATTTTATTTTTGCATGCATGCAAAATTATATTATCCCTATTTCTCTCATCTACATTCTTCTCCTCTTTTCCCCTTCTTCTCTTTCTCTCTAGAATCCTTTTTTCCCCTTCGATTAACAAAAAGGATTCAAGAGAAATCGAAAGAGGGGAGAGATGGGGCAACAAACGTTGATCTACAGTTTTGTTGCCCGGGGAACGGTGATTTTGGCTGAATATACTGAATTCACAGGTAATTTCAATAGCATTGCCTCGCAATGCCTCCAGAAATTACCTGCATCCAACAATAGGTTCACCTACAATTGTGATGGGCACACTTTCAATTTTCTCGCGGAGAGTGGATTTAGTGAGTTTTTCTAATTTCTTTCTCATTCATGATCGTGGTGGATTCTATAAATAAATATTTTTTTTTATATTTTAAAAATGGAATCATATGAATAATGAAGATTCAGATCATTGATCCTAACTAGTTTCTTTTTTGATCAATTGGATCTATTTAATTATGAGGTGAACGCAACATGAACAATGAAGATTCATCAATCAGATCCATTTAGAATTTTTTTTTTGGTTAGTTTGTTGTAATTTTTCATGCATGTGCTTATATTGATCTATTGTGGTTTGTGTAAATTTCACAATGGATATGCATGTGTTCATTTCTAACACAATTAAAAATAATAAAATATATATATATATATATATATATATATATATATATATATATATATTTGTATTTAATGTAATAGTAGTCATTTTTCATCAATAAATTATTTTCTCATGTTTGATTATCGAAAAACATATTTTTCGCGAGGAAAACATGTTCTCCACAAAATTTCTTGAAAAATGACTAGGGTAATTTTTCGATATTTGTTTGATTTTTTTTTTCATACGATCAATCAAATATTGTATAAGTTATACGAAATTTTTTGCTATTATTGTAGCCTATTGTGTGGTTGCTACTGAATCAGCAGGCAGGCAACTTCCCATTGCGTTTTTGGAACGTATTAAGGATGATTTTAGCAAGAAATATGGTGGAGGAAAAGCTACTACTGCTACTCCTAAAAGTCTAAGCAAAGAATTTGGGTACTTACTTAATTTTATCTTTTTATTACTTCGAGTGTAACACGTTAACACGATCAGGTCATTTAAAATGTGTCGTCCGAGTTTAAGTTATGTATATTGACAATATAGAAGATTGTGTAGTATTATGTTATTTATCATACTTGTTGTAGTAAGTAATCTAACTTATTTTTAAGATCGTATATCGTGCACGCGTGTTTTGAATTATTAATTAATATTATATTGTTGTAGGCCAAAAATGAAAGAGCAAATGAAATATTGTGTTGATAATCCTGAAGAAATTAACAAACTTGCTAAGGTGAAAGCTCAAGTTTCAGAAGTTAAGGGAGTGATGATGCAAAACATTGAAAAGGTAAGGGTTTTTTTTACAAAAAAAAAGAAAATTGTAAGGAGATTATGATAAGATAAATATTCAAATTATAAATGGTTTGAGTTGGACGGATTGAATTATGATTTATTTCGTATTAAACCTAAATTAATTGAAATAATTTTACGACCAAAATAAATTTTGGGAGTATCATCAATTCAACATGCTTTTAACAAGTTCAGATTTAGTTTAACTCGTCTATTTGAATCTTAAGTACGACACAAAAGAAATGTCACACTTGGATCTTTTTCACACCATGAGTTTGCTTAAATCATGTTTATTTAAATTTTTTTTTCCAGGTTCTTGATCGTGGTGAGAAGATTGAACTTCTAGTTGATAAAACAGAAAATCTTCGATCACAGGTTAGCTTAATGCAACAATACATATGTTTAATTTTTTTCCATTATTGATCTTTTTGAGCTTAGAAATTTTCGTTGTTTGGCCCTATATTATGATCCGCCTACTCCGTTCATGTTTTTTTTAACTCACACAATTCAACTTATCAAAAAATTAGATTGATATATATGAGTAATTTTTGTCATGATATGTTAATATATGGTGACAATGAAAGATAATTTTTTTATTATAAGTAATTAAATAAAATGATAAAGAAAATAAAATCAATAAGAGTTTGAATACGATTAAGCCTATTTATGACCCAACTTATATTGAGTGGATTAATGACAAGTCTATTTATTAATTAACTCTATATATATTGATATATTCAAATTTAGTCTGACTCGTTCATTTGATATATGATAATTTATTAATTTTATGTGATATTTTCAGGCTCAAGATTTTAGGCAACAGGGAACCAAGATAAGAAGGAAGTTATGGTATGAAAATATGAAGATTAAACTAATTGTGTTAGGGATAATCATAGCTTTGATTCTCATTATCATTTTATCAGTTTGCCCTGGCTTCAAATGCATGTCTTGAATAATTAATTTGCATCAAAAACAATATTTATTATTTTTACCACAAAATCTACTAATTACCGTTAAATTAATTGATTTTTCTTTCATAATATGGTATATTATACACAAGAGGAGGTGAAATTGGCCTATATTATGATGTAGATTGTATATTAATCAGGATTAGTTTGTCCTAATTACTTTTCACTTTTTAGGGGAATTGCTTCAATTGTACTATGTTAAGTTTTATTTAATGTTGTTTCTCAAAAAATGAGATTTCATAATTCTTATGCAAACTATTTAATTTTCATATTTAGAGATTATTTATATTATATTTTTTTTCGAAACGAGATAAGTAAAAGAAGATATGTAATAAGATACGAAATCTTTTTATTTTTATTTATATTTGAGTTGTAAATGGACAGAATAGATCATTTCCTATTAATTATCTAAGTAAAAAAGAATATTATTTATGTTTGACATCGCTGCTAGTTTAGTGCCAACACCAAATTGTACCTCGTAGACATCGCTATTAATACACCAAATTGTACCTCGTAGACATCGCTATTAATTGAGTGCTAGCACCTAACTGTGTTATCAATAATTTTTCAAAAAAAAAAAAAGTAATCGCTACTAATTAAATGTCGAACACCTACTTTTTCGATTTTCCATAAGGTGTTAATAGTGATTTTTTAAAAATGTTTATTTTAAGTTTTTCAATAAATGAAAATTGACTATAAACACTCATCAAAGAGGCATTTTATGTACTAAAAACTCATTATACAAGGAACATAATCACTCTTCAAAACCATACCAGATATTATTGTCTGCATTTTTGTGAGATAAGAATGAAGCCTCAGACAACTAATGTCAGTCATAATTAAACTTTCAACCAAAATATATATGCATATAGACACACAAAAGAGCTAATACAACTACTACACTAAATCATTAACAAGTATGATTCTAACACTCAAACATGAAAGATCAACAAGCTAATTGATCTCTACATGGTGATATTTCTTCGAAAATGGGAAGTCGTCTGGATCGAAAGGGAGCATACTGGTTTATCAACTGATCAAGACCATCAAGAAATGCATCTTCCAAGTTGAGTTTAGGTGAAGGAGAAGTGTATCCAAATGGCTCCAATTCTTTCAACAGTTCCTCTACGCGATTTTTTGATTTAGGATCATCCGAGCCAGAGATTTTACCTCGTATAACGTCTTCAAGGACTGATCTAGCTTCAGTATATCGCGATTGTTTTTGTAGACACGTGCATAGATTGCACGCCTTATTGACATCAGGATCGATTTCTTGAGCCTTACGATAAACAACTTCAGCAGCTGCATAGTTTGATTGTTGCATATATGCCCAGCCAAGATTACCCTACACAATCATCCATGTATACAACTAAGACAATGGTTTTCAACCGCGAAAAGTTCAAGGTCCTTATATACTTCGACAGTATAAAGAATAGATACAGTACTACAATGTAGCTTTCAACCAGTTATTCGTATCAATTCAAACACACGATGTAAAAAAAGCTAAAACTCTTAGTTGAAAGTACCAGTATTCTTGAGGTTTCTTGCTTGATAGTAACTTGAAACTTCCTTCCATGGGAACGAGCCGTCTTAGTAGGTTTACCATTGAACACTTCTCCTTGGTAAATCATTCGTAACTTTTGCTTCAACAGTTCAATCTGCTCCTCTAATTTTCCGCATTTCTGCAACATTCATCATATTGAATTAATTTAGTGTATCGATCAAGAGAAAAACTCTTGCATAAAGCTAACCGTTTCAATATATATACTACGAATAGGAAAAGAAATGCACTACACTATTCTACTAATAAGTACCTACTATCTCTCATCACTCATCAGCACAGATAATGGACAACTCTGTCCATCAAAACTTAAACAAATACGGAAAAGAACACATAAATGTTCATATCCTGTTTTAACACATTCAAAGCTAAAGGCAACTTCTCCATTGTGTTTTAACAACTTGAAACACAAAAAATGTGTGAGACTCAACAAGTCGAGGTCAGCTGTATGAATCCTCAATAACTCATATCAATACGACAATAGAACAACAAGTAATACAAATCGATGTGTTTAATATATGCACCTTGTATAAATCGATGAGGACATTGTCTAATGATTCTTGTGCTTGTTTAGAGCATCGATCTCTAAAGGACTTAATAGCTTCAATAGCCTCTTCAGCGCGATCTTGTTGTTTCATAACGACTGCCATGTCTTTCAACGCGCTATCTACTCTATCTCCTGCATTAATCGCCTTCCAAAACAGAACTATAGCTGCCTCTGCATCTTTCTCTACTAGCTACAATTAACACGCGGATAAATTAGTCTATCACCATATCTACTTATAGACTCGTTTTTCTACTATCGATCAGCATAATTTAACTTGTTATAGCATGTCGCTCATCATTTTCACTTAGGTGCCTTATAAGTTCAATTTTCTATATACTGACAGTATAAATAGATTCAATTTTTCTACTATTGGAAAATGTTGTAATGAACAAAATTATTTTTCTTTATTAGTAAACAAAAAAAAAGTCAAAACAACTATTGGATTCACTTTTTTAAAAAGAAAAAATTGTAAGAGAAAAATCATTTTGTTATATTATTATTATTATATCACATCAAGTATATTATTAGCTACCAAGTATATTTTCGATAACGTGCCACACACAAATCTTAAAGCAAAAAAATAAAAATCAATCATTTTAACCCATATGCATATTGTACATCACCCCACCCCCACTACCCCACCACCCAAAACAAATCTGGTTCAATTTTTGATAAATTATATAAATTTCTAATTTAAAATCACAAGATCTAAAAGTTTTTTCGACTTTTAGGAGGTCAATCGAACATTCAAACCAAGACACAAAAATGAAATACTGTTGTTCCATTTTAACGGACGTTTTAACTTAAATAATTCATCCCAATTTAACTGTTATTTCAGAAATTCAAAACTTTAAATTGACAATTAGTTTCAACTTTATACCCTTAAACATTAAATTAAACAATAATACACAATATTTAAGATTTTTAAAAAAAAATCAAAATCTACTTTGTAATTATATGTTCGAGCTAAAACGACAGTTAAAATGAAACATAGAAATTACCTGAGCATATTTGGCTCTAACATAAGGACTATCACCAGGAGGAAGCTTATGAACAATATGATTACACTCTAATTGTTCCTTCTTTGTGCATCCATTATTATTGTTCTTCATAATTATTAATATGAAAAAAAAAGGAAGAAAATTAATAAAATTAAAACATAAAAAAAATGGATCCTTTTTTTCTGAGTTTTATACAGAAAAAAGTTGAAGATTTGTTCTATAAATGGAGAAAAAGTTGAGAAAAATATAAAATATTGTAATATAATTGGATTTTGTAGAAAATGAACCTGGCTTGAAATGCGTCTATGTTCATTTGTTTGTTGGCTTGCTAGACGTGATTTTTCAACACGTATGTAATCTAGACACGTGTCAGTTTTTTTTGCCATTTTCCTATTAATTATAACTCTTTCGTTTATTTTTATTTGTCTGATATTGACTTCACATAGGGACGGAGCCACCTTTTGGTCAGGGGATGATTTGAGTTCTCTTCGACGAAAAATGATACTATCTATATATGATATTTAGTAGATTTTGAACATCTTTAATTAGTTCGTGTGTCTACTTATTCAAATTTTGAACTCCCTTAATTAAAAATTCTTACTTCGCCATTGAAATCATAGATTTTTTATTTTTTTTTGTAATTCCTTAATTTCAATTTTTTTTAATGTAATTTCATGATATATTTTAGACTATAAGATAAAAATATGTTTTGATATTTTTATAGGAAAAAAGAACAAGATATATATACCCCTGAACTATCGTAAATGGTATGTAGATACCCTTCGCCATTCTTTGGGGACGTTGATGCCCCTTCCATTTAAAAACTAAAGTATATACGCCCTTCAGTCTAATGAAAAACTAAATAGGGACACATGGCACAATCTTATCCATCGATCCGATGTCGGCTCGATGAATAAGATTATGACATGTGTATGTCTGTTAGTATAAAGGGTATATATGTTATAGTTTTTGGACGGTAGGAGCATCAATGTCCCTAAAATATGACGGAGGGTAATAGAAGACCATTTACGATACTTTAAGGATATATTTGTCTTTTTCCCTTTTTTATATATTGAAGATAATAAGATTCAAAGACATTGTTTACTTTTTAAAATTTCACGTCAATTTGAACTTAATAAACAAATTAAAATGAAAGAAACATATACTGACTAATCGTAATAGCTTAATTGATTGATTAACTGAATTTTTTTGTGATCCCCAACTTTTCAAGCTTTTACCTTTTCCAATTTATTCAAACTTTTTACCTTTTCGTCTATTTAGGTTGTTAATTAGTTTTCTAAATTGCAAATTAAGCAAAAACGGATTATGACCTCTATTTCTTATAAAATGATATTGAATTGACCTATTGGAATGCCTGCATTTCAACTCAAATTAAAGTTAAATCGTGAAATAATCATATCACTGCACTGTTACGTATATTAATATTAATATATTGATCAGTAAATCGACATTTTCACAAATATCGAACGAAGAGATATATTTTGCATAAGAAATTTAAAAAATCATATTGAAAATATCATCCACATATTTGATCGAATTCTAATACAAATACGAATACTAAAATAAGAGTGGGAAACAAAGAAACATACTACAACTATTTCTATAGATACCATTGTTTAACTTTTCTTTGGAAGACCCCACAAATACATTTTGTGACAAGCTAAATATCAACTATGAGAAATTTTTGTTGATTCAACTCAATCATAATTGAAAATTCACTATTTCATGAACCAAAACTCATATCTATCGATAGACGAGAACAGACTGCTATTGACTATTTTCACCTATCTAGAAGACAACAAATGTAGACCATCATCTCCATCTGAAAGCAATCATAGCTTCATTTATTCGTTTAACCTTGCACATTCACACAAAAGTAAAGTCGTCCTACCGAAAAATTCAACATTCTCAAGGCTCAAACTCGAAATTACTACTATGGAAGGGAGGTGAAGTAAAGAGTCTATATACACTAAAAAAAATGAAAACTTATTACATGACAGACATCAAAATAAATGAATCATATGAAAAAACAAGAACCAACCAAAGTAACAGAACCTTTAGCCAAATAACATCAAACAAAACTGCATGAAAATTCACTCAAAAAAGTTTCACA